CCTAGAATTGTAACCGTTTAATTATTATCAATCTAATTTCCATCTTTATTACCACAAAAAAAAAAAATATATATATATATATATTATTGAATCCATTTCCAAATAATTTAAAGACTTTGGGAATAGCTGCTTGGAAGTAGGTATTTATCTATACAGTAGTATTATATAAGAGGGAGTTGATTATGTATGCTACAGTGTTAGTGGCTCTCTTTTTTCTTTACCTGTTTTGCCCCTTTGTTTTGTTCTATTTTTCGAGCCAGTTCATGGGTCTTTATGAAAAAATGCTTGAGACTCCCATTTTTTGGAGACCTCCATAATTCCCTTTGATCTCCACCATTGATATATATGTGGGACCCACTCATATATGTGTGGGACTCACATCATCAATGGTGGAGATCCAAAGTAGATTGTGAAGGTCTCCAAAAAATGAGGGTCTCAATCATTGTTGGTTATTTATGATGTTGTTTTTGCTAAACTCTAATTTTTTATTTCTGCCATACTTTGGCTTTTAGAGATGGAGTTTGAAATGGCAACGAAACACCAAGTAATTTCTGCACACAAGCTCTATAGCAGATAGCAATAAAATCTGTTTTTAGTTATTAAGTGCACTTTCTTTATTCAGTTTTTAGTATTTCAAGTTGATGGGTTTCTTCAACTTCAAAGACTTATGAAATGGTTTATTAGGATGACTGGAAAGTAGAATTTTAATGTTCTATCTGGTTCTTCAGTCTTTCTCTGGGTTCTTCAATATGACACAACGGGGCCACGAAATATAGAGAAACTTCTAAAAGTAGGGTTTTCTCCCAAATTGGCAGAAATTCATTTTGTTTCTTTCCAGTTGAAAGGATTTTTTTAAGAGGAGAACAATTATTTGTCAATTAATTCCATTTCTTTTGTTTGTGATGACCAAATATATATCCTTGGGACTAGACTATTTATTCTTATTGAGAGGGGAGATTTGCGCCGTTAGTACGGCCGAGCAGGGATTGGACGGGTCTGTTTTGCTCGATCTCGAGGATCGGCTGACCGGGCGGAAACCAAGCCTGGCCGAGCTGCGACTAGCAAATATTCGGTGGCGCGCACAGCTAAGAGGCGAGACCGAGCTACGGATAGCTTGGGCTAAACTATGGACAAGGGAGGGATGACGCGTCTTTGACCGGTGAGCCCAGATGGGAAGATTCAATATAACCTCAGATGAAGGTAGAACGGACGGGGGCCGGCATGCCTCGCGACCGGTATGCCACGACGAACCGGTCAACTCCAGCCTGGTCCATGGGCGTCCCCCCCGCCGCCCCTTTGCCAAGGGGCAGTCCGGTGGGGCATAGCGCGGTTGAGCGCCTGTAGCGATAGTTCTTCTTGGGAAATAGGTCGGTCGTGGTATTGCGGTCAGGTGTGCCACCTGGGCCAATGGCACGAAGGAAGGGACATCTGCTCCACATATGCCTCATTACCGTTAGGCAGTTCTGCGTGTACTGTTGGGAGGACTAAGCCTTTACACGCGTAAGGTGGTGAGAGGCGAGTACTGCCACCTGTCTTGGGAAGGACAGCAGAGGTAGTGCGCGCATGATCTTGAGGATGCATGGCCAGCCTTGAAATAGGGAGGAGGGCGAACGTTAGAGGTATGCAACTTCTTCCCAAAAGAGAACACTCTCTCTCTCTCAGTCTTCTTCCTCTTCCTCAAGTGAACTGACTTGATCGTCAGAGGGTCTATCCGGCATACCACCGTCGGGTAGCTCACCATTTCTGTGTTGCCAGGTAGACGCCGTCAAGAGAAGCTCAGAGTACAAGGAGTACGGAAAGCAGAGGATATTTCGCCCCCGTACAATTGGCGCCGTCTGTGGGAAGTTTTTTGATACTCAACCCTTGTTCTCAGAGCTTCTTCGACCATTTCCATGGCCAACAACGGCGAAGCCCCACTGTCCGTCGTCGATGGCGTCACACCTGAGTACGTTCGCTTGAGAGAAGGTCCTCTGAATATTCCAGCCATGGCAGGCCTAGAGACTCCTTCGCGAAGTGCACGAGACAAACGCGGAAGGAGTGCTGATCGCTCGCAGAGTCCTGGGGGCCGTAGACGCCGGGGGAAGTCCCATGCGCAGCGCCTGGAGCACAAACTCAAGGACCAAGACGCCGTCATTCGCAAGATGGCGGCGGAGATGGAGCTGCTGAAACGCCAGATTAAAGGGAAGGGTGTTGCTGGAGAGGGCAACCTTAGTGAGCGTACCCCGTCCCCTCGTTGTAGCAGTCGCCGCCAGGGGAGGACTCCTTCTCTCTCCATCACCAGGAACTATGGGGTTGGAGGTTCCGACCAAAGGGAGGGCAGGTCCCTCTCTCGCGACAACACCTACCGCCCCTCACACCCGACGCCGACGTCCGGATCCTCTTTCTCCACACGTTCTAGGGACTTGAGGGATGTATTGGAGGAGAGGGCGGGCCGTCGGGAGGCTAGGAGAGTGCCGACATTCTAGAGGTTAAGCGTTCCAGCTCGTTACAGTGAGGAAGTGGCGATGCCAGCCCCCAAAGTGATGGCCCCTGCGCTGGTGGACAAAGAACTGGCGCGACTTACAGCCACACCACTGTCTCCAGAGATTGAGAGTACGCCGCTCCCCGCCGGATTCCACCAGCCAAAGTTCACTTTGTACGACGGCAAGACGGATCCATACATGCATGTGAGCCATTACCGGCAAGTAATGGCTAAACAACGGCGGAATGACGCCTTGATGTGCCTCATATTCCCAGCAAGCTTGGGAGAGCTGGGTTTGAAGTGGTTTGAAAGGCTCCTGGAGGGGAGTATTGAGGGGTGGCAGTAACTAACGGAAGCCTTCGTCACCAGATTCAAGACCAACACACGAACGCCGAAGGAGGTCGACCATCTCCTGGGCGTCAAGATGGAGTCTGGATGTTCGTTGAAGGCATACAATGCGAAATATTGGGAAACATACAATGAGATCCTAGACTGCCCCACCAATCTAGCGATCACTCAGTACAAACGGGGTCTCCCAGTCGGACATAGGCTGCGAGATTCACTCACGATGCATCAACCTACAACCATGGAGTCATTGATGCAGCGGATCAATGAGCATATTCGTGTGGAGGATGATGCCGCCTCTGCGACCGAGAAGGTTAATCCGGTCGCGGCGGACAGGAGGGTTGCGGGGAAAGTTCACTCGGTTGGGCAGGAGGATAACCGCCCAAACAACCGGTCGAAAGACCAGCACCATGGTCCAAACCGTGATGACAGAAACAAGGGCCGCCGAAACGACCAGGCTGACCCTCCCCATGATGCGGCGGAGGATGCCAAAAGAAAATTGAAGGCACGGACTGGGATCACCACGGTATTTAAAATCCCCATCTACCGCATTTTGAGCGAGATTCGAGGTGAACCCTTCGTCCGTTGGCCGGCCAAGTTGGGGAGCGCGCAGAGGGGCTTCAATTCAAAATATCGCTGCACCTTTCATGAAGAACGGGGGCACCGCACAGAGGATTGCTTGCCGCTCAAACAACACTTAGAAAAGTTGGTGGCGGCAGGGCATCTTGACCAATACATAGATGGGGGCATCAAGGCCACGCCAGCAGACCAAGTCGAGCCAAACGGCCTGGCCGCCCTAGAAGCGCCCCCGTAAGGTGTAATCAACGTCATCTACGGAATCATTGAACCGGCCAGGGTTTGCAAGCTGAGGGGGATGATCAAGAAGGCCGAGCACATGAGGGAAGTGCTCTCTGTTCAGCCCGCTGTGAAGAAAGGAAAGACCGAAGAAAGGGACATCATTTCATTCTCAACCAAGGACTTGGAAAGAGTTCAGATGTCGCACAATGATGCCTTAGTAGTCACTCTTCGCGTCAAGGACTTTGACATCAAGAGAATCTTGATCGACCAGGGGAGTTCGGCAGAAATTATGTATTATGACGCGTTTAAACAAATGAAGTTGGAAGACAAGGACTTGGCCCCCGCAACGTCCCCTTTGGTCGGCTTCAACTCACAGCCAGAATGGCCAATCGGAAAGATTATTTTGCCGGTCAAAGCGGGATCGGTCGTAAAGAAAGTAGAATTCTGGGTGCTTAAAGTTCCATTAACTTACAACTTGATCTTAGGGAGAGGTTGGCTGCACGCCATGCAAGCAGTTGCTTCGACCTTCTACCAAGTCATGCGCTTTTCGGCACCGAGCGGACAAATAGAGGAAGTTTGGGGGGACCAGGTGATGGCGAAACAATGCTTCGTTGCGGTAAATGGCAACCGAGCGGCTAAAGGGTTCGTCCAAATGATTGAAGGGCCCGAGGGTAAAAAAGTCCTTGAAGACGTAGGAAGAAAGGCCGAGGAAAAGTCGGTCGAAGATTTGGTAGAAGTGCGAATTGACGAGAACGATCCCACTAAGTTCTTCATCTTGGGATCATCCTTGTCTAGCGCCGAGCGGATGGATTATGTAAACTTCTTGGTTTCCAATTTGGAGGCCTTTGCCTGGACGCCTTACGACATGCCCGGCATCGACCCGAGCTTCATTTGTCATCAGTTGAATGTCTTCCCTAATGCACGGCCAGTCATTCAAAGGACGCGCTGCTCAGCCTTGCACCATGCTGAAGTGGTCGCAGAAGAAATGAAAAATTTATTGGAAGCTGGTGCCATAGAGGAGGTGCAGTACCCCCGGTGGATATCCAACACGGTGGTTGTCCCGAAGAAGAACGGCAAGTGGCGAGTCTGCGTTGATTACAAGACTGTCAACCGAGCTTGCCCCAAGGATAGCTTTCCCCTCCCACGAATTGACCAGCTGGTGGACTTAACCGCTGGCCATCAGAGGTTTAGCTTCCTGGACGCATATCGTGGCTACCACCAGATAGCCATGTATAAACCGGACAGAGAGATCACATCGTTCATAACCCCCAGAGGCTTATATTGCTACAAAGTCATGCCGTTTGGACTAAAGAACGCCGGGGCAACTTTTCAGAGGATGGTAACAAAGATGTTCGCTCCTCTTCTGGGCCGAACAATGGAGGCCTATATCGATGACATGGTGGTGAAGAGTAAGGAGAAGTCTCAACACCTCGCCGACCTTGCAGAGATGTTCGCCATACTTAAGCTCCACAAGCTTCGCTTGAACGCCACAAAGTGCACCTTCGGAGTTGGCACCGGAAAGTTTTTGGGTTTTTTGGTCGCAAATCGAGGGATTGAAGCTGACCCATCACAGAACAAGGCCATACAAGACCTAGAGCGTCCCAACTCTACGAAGGACGTGCAACATCTTGCCGGGATGGCAGCCGCGTTGAACAGATTTATCAGCCGGTCTTCTGATCGTTGCAGGCCCTTCTTTAAAACTCTGAAGTCCAAGTTCTTCTGGGATGACGAGCGCGACCGCGCACTAGTAGACCTGAAAGCATATCTCTCTTTGGCCCCTATTTTGGTCACGCCTCAGCCAGGCGAAGAGTTGTAACTCTATTTGGCTGTCTCTTAACATGCAGTCAGTGCGGTATTGGTGCGTGCTGAAGGCATCCAACACTTTCCGATCTTTTATGTAAGCAAGACTCTTCTCCAAGCCGAAACGAGGTATCTTCCCTTGGAAAAATTGGCGTTGGCCCTAATGATGGCATCAAGAAAACTTGCACACTATTTTCATGCCCATACGATAATTGTGTTAACCGAGTTCCCGTTTAAAGTGCTTTTTGAAAAGGCAGACTTCACTGGAAGAATTTTGAAATGGGCCGTGGAATTAGGACAATATGACATCAAGTTTCGATCGCGCACCGCAATCAAGGCTCAAGCACTTGCCGACTTTGTGGTGGAATTTGCCCCTGGGATGCATCCAGTATGTCCGGTTGATTTGGCTGGTGCGGATTTAGCATAACCCATGATTCTGGCAGCAGAAGCGAGTGTTGGTTCGCAAGTAGGAAAAGGGACAAGCATGACCGGACTAACAAAGTCCGACGACGATGAACCCAACCAAGACAAGGAAAGGGACCAGAATGAATCGATCAGAGACTTGGAAATGAGAAGCTCCCAGAACCCCTCTGATTGCTGGAGGCTATTTATTGGCGAAATGCGGAAGCTCTTCGTTGATGGGGTGTCCAACAGACATGGGGCCGGGCTGGGCATCGTGCTGAACTCACCGGACGGGCTGATCATCGAACAGGCAATTACATTCGGCTTCCCAGCATCCAACAACGAGGCTGAGTATGAAGCTCTCCTTGCCGGACTGAGAAGCGTGCTGAGAATGAAAGCCACAGCCCTTATGGTATTTAGTGATTCCAAGTTGGTGGTCAATCAGGTCTCAGGGGAGTATGAAGCAAAGGACGAAAGAATGGCCAAGTATCAGGCGCTGGTACAGGCAGAGATCAAGAAGTTCGCCGCAATAAGGTTGGAACAAATCGATCGCGAGGACAACGGCGTGGCTGATGAATTGGCCGGACTGGCTTCTGCCCAGATAGCTTTTCCTAACCCCTTGATGATAGAGTTTCTACCCCGGCCAAGCATTGAGGAACCAGAATCAACCGAGGTACTCTGCGCCGACTTGGGCCCTTCTTGGATGGATCCTATCATAGCCTTCTTGAAGGATAGAATTCTATCGGAAGACAAGAATGCGGCACATAAGATCCGGGCAAAGTCGGAGCGGTTTTGGCTCTCCCCGTCCGGGGCCTTGTACAAGAAGTCTTTCACCGGCCCGTATTTGAAATGTGTCCACCCCACCAAGGTGGAGGCTTTCCTCTATGAGATACATGAAGGCGTCTGTGGCAGCCATACTGGGGGCAGATCCTTGGCTTACCGGGCAATTTCTCACGGTTATTGGTGGCCGCGCATGCAGGTAGATGCGCAAAAATATGTGCGTAGGTGCGAGAAGTGTCAGAAGTTCACCCACCAGATCCATCAGCCGGCTAGAGATTTGCTCCCCCTCACAAGTCCTTGGCCGTTCTCGCTTTGGGGGTTGGACATTGTTGGGCCACTCCCAGCTGCACCGGGAAACCGTAAGTTCTTCATCACCGCCACCGACTATTTCACCAAGTGGGTTGAGGCCGAGCCACTAGCGACCATAAGGGAAAAGGGTGTGCAGAAGTTTGTATGGCAAAACGTGATCACCTGTTTCGGTATACCCAAGGCCCTCATCTCGGATAATGGCGCTCAATTCGATGGTAAACTCTTTCGCGGATTTTGCGAGGAGTTGAAGATTGAGTTCTACAATTCGACGCCGTCCTATCCCTAGTCAAATGGTCATGCAGAGGCTTCAAACAAGACCATCCTGGACGGGCTGAAGAAGCGGCTTGAGAAGGCTAAGGGCAAATAGGATGAAGAACTCCCTAATGTGCTCTGGGTATACCGCACTACCCCATGGCGATCAACCGGAGAAACACCTTTTGCTTTGGCCTACGGCATGGAGGCCGTCATCCCGTTGGAAATTGGCATGCCAACCATCCGCTCTGAAGGTTTCCAGCCAGATCTGAATAATGAAGCGTTGGCATTGGAGCTGGACCTTGCTGAAGAAAGGAGGGAGCGAGCATTGATCCACGTAGTAGCTTACCAACAAGAACTCTCCAAAAAGTATAACAAGGCTGTGCACCCCAGGATGTTCAAGATTGGGGACGGGGTATTAAGAAAGGTGCTTGGCAACACAGTGGTCCCTGGTGAGGGAAAGCTCGGTGCAAATTGGGAAGGACCATACAAAGTGATTGGTCTTGCCGGTAAAGGGGCATACCACTTGGAAGATATAGATGGCAAGGTTGTCCCCAGACCATGGAATACGGCCAACCTTAAGGTCTTTTACTTTTAAGATGTAATTTGCTTGTGTTTTTTAGTTTTTTTAGACCTTTAGCCCTTTGGCACTTAATGTAAAGGATAGCAATGCTTTTGTAATGAAAAATAGCCCTCTTGTTGTTTGGAATTACCTCTTTGTACAATGGACTCGCAAGGACGCAAGGCAATTATGAACACCAGGGGCAGGAGACCGGCCTGAATGGGACTTGACTGATTCCCTCTCACCAGAATGAACGCGAACCGCACAAACAATTTGCATTGTCAAACGATGCAATTGGCGTAAGGATCCATTCGCAATAGGGCCGAGATGGTTTAGCTCGCCCGGTTGGAATGTTGGCGTCATGACCAACTCAACTGAAGCATTGGTGTTTTGCCCAGTGTAAGGGCCGAGCTGATTTTGCTCGGCCCAGTGGATATAATGGCGCCTTGCCCAAAATGGAAAATGAGCGGAGTTTGCTCGGCAGAATTCGGAGTGTTGGAGTTTTGTCCAACCAATAAGAAGCCGAGCTGAATTTGCTCAGCCTAAAAGAAATGTTGCCAACTTAAAAGGCGAACTGATTTTGCTCGGCCAGGTCGAAATTGCATGAAATTTACAAACTAATTAAGGCCGAGCAGATTTCGCTCGGAATAGTTAAAGCGTCAGTTCATTTTAAAGTTCATTGAACCAAACTACTAGCTCTGATTAGAGAATGTTTGAGGTGACTTTAGCTCGGCAAGCTGTACAGCGCAGCCGACCTGGCAGTTGTGAATTGTCAAAAATTAAATCAAGGAATCCATGAAGATGCAAACCGAACAGAAATAGAAGATGAGCGAGCAATAAGTAGAAAGTATTCATTGATAATAGAAATTTAAGTACAAAACGGGGGGAACATAGCCCGGTTACATAAAATAAAAAAATAAAAAAACAACAAAAAGGGGTCAATCCAAATCTGCGTCGACAGTTTGCTCGGAGACTTGCACTGTTTGCTCGGCCTCTTCTACGTTTTACTCAAACAGGATTTCCTCGGCGTCATCGTCAGTTCCTTCCACCACGGCAACATCCCGATCAGCCTTTTCCTCTATACCTGGAGATGCTTCGGGAGGATTTTGTTCAGCTAGTTTCGTGGCGGCGGCTTCTTCCTCGGCCTCTTTCCTTGCATCCGTGATGAGCCGGTTTTGGGTGGCCTTGGAGTACGCCTGCATGTAGACCGGGATGTAGGCAGCAGGCGAATTGATGAACATGTCAGAATCCTGACCAAGACCAACTTTCTCCACGGCAGCCTTCCGGCCGCATTGGAAAAAGATGTCCTTGGTCGCTTGGACCTGCCGTTCGTAGGTCTTCTCGCCCTGCGCATATCCCCGGTCTTCTGCGTCATCTACGGCCTTGTCCCTCTCGGCTTTGTGCGCATCGCGCAGTTTCCTCAGCTCGGCGAGATACCGAGCCTTCGTTGACTTCATGGCCCGAAGCTTATCCTCGCTAGCTCGGTCAACCTTCTGGCTCAGGATATCTCACTCGGCCTCGACTGCTTCCTGCGCTGCTTTGAGCTTCGCTATCTCCTCCTTTTGAGCCTTATTCTCGGCTATGGCATCCCGCAGGCTCTGCCGCACTTTGATCATCCGGTCATGGGCCGAGTAGTTCTTTTGCGCGGCCTGAAAACAAGTGAAAGATCGTTAGTATTCAAAAAACTGCGCAAAAACCGAGCAAACAGTTTGACGTAAAAAATGGAGAACTTACCAGCACTATGGATTTTGCCGCTGAGCGAAGGACCTTGAGGTCAGAAAGCTCATCATGTTTTTTCATGTCGGCGGGCAAGATCAACCCCTTGGTCACATTGAAACCAAGCGAGTAGTCCTTGTCCGCATACACAGAGTCTTCAGCAGAAACTGCTCGGCCCTGGTATTTGAACTCGGGTGCCCAGACCGGGGGGGCTGGGCCCTTGGATTTGCTGGCCCGTGGTTGCTCGGTCTGGTCCCCGAGCTCGGTAGAGATGTGATCGGTGGAGTCTTCATCCGCCAGACGCGGCCCGGTTTTCTCGTTCCTCGGCCGCTTCTTGGACCGACCAGCTGGCTGCTCGCTGGCAAGCGCCAGCACTGCCCCATTTCCCTGCACGGCGGGTGCGGAGGATGTCCCACCGGTTGCCTCTACGTTCTGGGGCTCATCTTCTTTCCCGGTGATCAAGGACTTGATGGCCCTAATTTTTGCCATTTCCTGCTCGGCGGTTAGTGGAATAAGCCTGATCGGTGGAAGGTTTGGATCCGGTTCCGGAGTTGGCGCGTGCAGAAAATCAGTAACCCGGCTCCTGCGTGGTGCGGTGTAACAGTAAGTCTGATCGAAGCCGAGCAATTTCGAAGCTTCCCTCTCTTCGGCAGGATGGCGCAGCAGGACTCTGATGGCCTCTTGGTTGGCCCGGTAGTAGTCTGCTGCTAGGTGCTTATCTGCAAAAAAAGACAAGTGTTAGATCGGCACGAAAAATAATTGCTACATAAAGAAAATAGCGCGGTCAGCCGAGCAACTCACCGGCACTACCAAAATCCTTTCTAATATACCATCCTGGTATGGGTGCCTCGATGTCTTCATAGCGACCGGACACCCACAGGAAGTCGTCGTCGTTTGTCTCCTTGTCCGGGTTACCCTCTATTAATTTTGCTCGGCCCTTCTTCACTTTGAGGTACCAGCAAAACCCGCTCTTATTCCTACTAAGACTATACTGATGAAAAATTTCAGCCAGACCGAGATTGAGCCCGAGCATCCGGTTCAGTTCGGTGACCCCGTTTATTATTTTGTAAGTGTTATTTGAAACTTGGGTCGGGCAAAGCCTTGTCTGCCTCAAAAACTCACAGATCAAAGGCTGGACCGGGAAGCGGAGCCCTCTCTCTACTATTGACACGACCGTAAAGGGACACCGGTCTAGATCTCCCCAAGGGGTGTCTCCCTTTTTGGCGAGCTCTAGGATAACGTCATCTGGGATGTTGTATCCCTGCGAAATTCGGCCATCGCACCGAGCGAGCTTATCATATAGCGGTACTTCCCCATCTACCTCGGTCTTATTTGATAAAGTGTATCTCGGTCAAAAATTTTTGTGGGTCTGATCGGACTTTGAGCTCCACCAGTTAGTGCTGGAC